TATATATATACGCATACTCAAAAATAAAGACACCTAGGTAGAAATCTGTCTTTCTACAGATATCGTAGTATCCGTCAGCGTAGTTCGATACAAAACCTACTATAGATGATACATGCAGACTAATATACACTCAAATGGCAGATATTCAATATACAAGTTGATTTTTTCTCTCTGCGCACCACACCTCATATAAATATACCCACACACACAACACACACAAAAAAACATACATATGCACCACTATTGCCACCCCTATCTCTATCCCACACACTACTCACACCGAGCTAGACCCATCGACCATAAACCCTACAACCATCACCCACTAACCCTAAACCCCCAAGACTGTCTTGCATACCATGCTCCTCTGCAAGCAACACCACGTGTCGTACAGTCGCCCGTCCCACCACACTTGTCTGCGAATTAGACAGCAATTCCGGTATCATCGCACACACTCGTTCCAAGTGCAGATGCAATGCGGTCCTGAATTTGCCCTCCAGGTGCACCTTAGGACTCATGCTGGCACCTTCATCGTTGTCGGCAATAATACTCAGGATGGCCCGCATGAGCTGGTGCAATGGACACTCGGCCGTATCGTGCTGTGAAGGTATTTAGGGTGTAGGGTTTAGGGTTTAGAGTTTTAGGGTGCTGGTTGGTGCTGGTTAAAGCAAGGAATGACGCGAGAGACAAAAGAGTGCATGAGTGTGAGAATAAACGAGTGTAACATTATTGAATAGTGACTGAATGTGGATGGGACGCAGAATAAGATGAGACAGATGATGAACGCGTGTGGGAACAAGCGAGTACCCTGGGACAAAACAATACATGCATGCAGATACAAGGAGGAACGACTGTAAGCAGCCAAAGTAGGCGCCTGTGTATTACAAGTGAAGTAACATGCGAGTGTGTACATGCAGCTCACACTATGGTACAGCAAAAGCATTGGGTGTTCACGGCTTAGGACCCCTGTAGAGGACATCCACCTTATAGGAGAGATCTGGCACTCACCTTAGCTGAGTTTTTGCGCCGAGGGCTGCTGGTGATGGGCTCTGTGTGTACAATGAAATCCTGCAATGAACAATGATGGGGTGTGTTGTTTAGTATCGGCATGAGGTAAGTGTTTATTTGTATTGGATTGCTGGTAATGGGCTGTGTGTGTACAATGAAATCCTGCAATGAACAATGATGGGCTGTGTTGTTTAGTATCGGCATGAGGTAAGTGTTTATTTGTATTGGATTGCTGGTAATGGGCTGTGTGTGTACAATGAAATCCTGCAATGCACAATGATGGTATGTGCTGTTTTAGTATTGTTAATTTGTATTGGCATCAAATACAGTAATTTGCTATCGCAAGTTAAAAAATAATAAAAAATAGTTGTATGGCACAGACATCAATGACGTGTTTGGTCCGCTACCGACACCAATAATGCACACGTACGGCAGAGAAAACGTATGTACGACAAATTCAATCGCGTGTGCGACACCTATACAACAAACACGCACGTGCCCATAAAAACCTAGCCCGTTGCAAGCCAGGGTAGCACATATGGGGGGACTAAGACACGTTGGACAGACTTCGCCCGTTATAAGCCAATCAGCACTCAAATATCAATCGAATATATATATTATATTATATATATATA